TCTCCCCCAAAAAAGGGGGGGGTGGTTTTTTTTTTTTTTTTTTTTTTTTTTTTTCTTTCCAAAGTTTATAACTCGGATAAATTCATGTGTTTTCTTTTTTCACCCCAGACGCATCAAAAGGCATATCCCTGACACCTGATGACCACACCACGTGCTAAACTGTAAGCCTCTGCTTCAAAGCATTAAGGTACTACAGCTTCTCAATGAAACAATTGTATGAATGATTTTTACATGAGCAGAGCATGAGAGGTCCCTTTAATCTCATTGTGGGGAATATCTGAAAGTATTTAACAAAACTTTTCCAAAAAAAAAATCAGCCTGATGCAAACACCTAACAGAAAATTCCAGTGCAAGCCACTAGCATTTTTGCAAAGTTATGGGAACTGGATCTTACAATAGGAAGTGTTGGGTAACTTGAAGAATAAGTGTCGCTGCCCATAATATATATTCATTATCTTTAGATTTTGGAGCACAAGTTATAGCTCCTAGCTACATAGAGGGAATATTAATTAATTCCATAGGCAACCCATCATTCTTATGAAGAAATAGAAGCCTTAATTCAGCCAAGCATGCAAGTATCCGGTTAAAGTTAGGCGGGTCTTTAGTGCATTACAGTGCTTGTAATATGGGGACCCAAATGCAAGAAGATGAAAATCAGAAAGTCTCAAGGTCTGCATGAGTAAAGTACATCACCACTCCACTCCACCCTGCTTCCAGCAAAATAACAATTAACTAACTGTTTCAGGTGATTTATTAAGCCCTGTTATTTGAGCCAAAGCTGATCCTGAATCCGGCCTCTGTGTGCTGGTATTTCTGAGTCACTGCTGACACACGGTTTTGACTTTATGCCCAGATGTAACTCAACTAAAGTCAGTAGAGTTACCCCCAGGGGAGAATCCACTCCATTATGGGGCAACATTTTCCTCCATAGTTCTCTTGGAACAATTGTTTGGCCCATGTTTCAGAAGGGCTTGAGTGCTAGGTTTGTGAGGACCCTCTGCTGGTGCTTTTTGGCATCTGAATTGCAGGCTTGGCCTTAACATGAGCCAAAAACCCTCTTGTTGTTCCTTTATTTTTCTTAGCCTGGAAGCATGCTCTATGGAAACTGGAAATCCTGACAGGAGGAGTCACAAAATGCTTCCTTGTCTGATGTAATGTCATGGCAGCTGGCATGAGAGTCTCTGATAATGGTGTGTGCAACACTTGCATGAAGATTGTAACAGAAACTGTGTATTTTCAGATGAATGGCTTCAATTTGTCCATGTAATATTATGTACATATGTCCTTCTGGCAGAACCAGGGGATAGCTCTGATTTTACCCTAATATGTTATCACAGTTGTTCATGACTTGAATCTAAATGTTATTAAATATCAGCTCCCATTTAGTACTTTACCAAAAAGAAGCAGCTCTGCCAGTGCCCATTTTTATTTAATTTAACAAAAGGTATGCACTAAACAGCTACAGATTTCCATTTTGAAAATTACAGCACTGGATTCCTCGAGCCACAGTCTATATTGGTATAAATCAGCAGAGCTGCGCTGAAGCCAGTAGCACTATGTCACTTTGCATAATAATCTGACCTCCTCATTCTTGCCTCAAAACACTCATATGATGTAGGCAAAGATTACTAGGCTTTTAATTTAGCTGGTCTGCTGTATAGCTTCTCTCTGCTCTCAGGCTCTTATTGCGCCTCTGTGGTCAGCAAAGGAACATACAGCAAGAGAGAGAGAGAGACTGCAGCCGGGTTTATTTTAAACAATTTCTAAAATCCAAACGAATGTTGAGGCCAAGAGGATGTTTTCCTTGGTGGCAGAAATACAAGCATCCTGGATTCTGTTTTCCTGCTAATAGGTATAAAGACGAATAAACAGCTGCTTTCTGTTTTCCCAAAAATATTTGCATTAAGATGATCTGCAAATTCCTGCTCAGATTGATGGAACATCTCTTCAAATGAGGACCAGCTGCTTGCTTTGTTTGTTTATGGCAGGACATGCTTAAGAGACCTTTTTTTTTGTTTTGTTTGTTTATTAAAATGTGGGACCAGACTCTTTCTGGTGGGCTGTAATTGCAGTGTGGGTGATGTCTGAATAAGGGGAGAGTCTGTGCATGTAACTGTGGTTGCAGCCATCCCACCTTCTGCTGTGATTTTCTGCGATTGTCAGCTAACCAAAGTTGGACTAGGGCTATTCATGAATGGGAGGCTTCCAAGAAATGCCAAAACAGAGGAAGAGCACGTGACGTTGTTACTACTGAACTATTCCAAGTGGTATACTATCTAAAAGTGTTGCCTTTGGTATGAGATATTTAAAAAGGCTTTCTAATTTGGTACCCTTAAAAAGCATACAGTATTAATTTCCAAGAATATATATGATGTTAACTGCAAGGTGCTGGGGTAATAATACAAAACTAAGCAATGACATGCTCTTGGCTTAAGTTCCCTTTGTAGTTTGCAGTTGGATACAGGATTTTTGCCTTCCATTCCACGTTGCACAGAAACTACTTTGCAACAATATTAAACAATTGTGTTCCTCCCTAGAGCTGGTTGCACTTCATGGCTGAAGAAGCAACCCTTGTGCATCCTGTTGTCCCTATATTGTTTTTTGAATTGCCTATAAAATTCCACAGGGATTTATGATTTTCTGGAACCAATAATATTAATAATCAACATATAACTGTTTTTAAAGGGCACAGATTGAAGGCACAATATGAGGAATAACAGTGGCATCACCTTTGCCAATGACTGGCTTTCTCTCAACAGAAGTCAATTCAACTGGAAGTGATTTGCTGCTGTTCTTGAAAGCAGAGACTGAGATGAGTTTATGCAGTTCTCTTGTAGTAGCTACATGAATATAAAGGTCATGGAGACACAGCTGGAGCAGAGAGAAGAGGAAACTGGAAATCCTCCGAGTCTCTGGTCGAGGAAATTCCTGGGACTGACACGGTACTGTACCAGAGTGAAACCTGAAGAAAACAGAAGAAAAAACAGGATGGAATCCAGGATTAAACATTACCCAGGAGAAGAAACTTCAGGGTAGGATCGCCTGCAAAGGATGCTTCACAACCGGCAGTTGAGGAGGCAGTCTCTCTGGCAACCAGAAGGCAGGATGAGGAAATGAAGGAGACAGAAGGCAATATGGATAAACACTACTAGCAGCGGGAGTTTGTGAGAGCACAGAGACCTTATAGATAGGGACCAGGTTCTGGGCTGTTCTGCACTCTGTATAGTTATTACATCTGTGCAAAGTGAGTACAAAGTGCTACTAAATAAAGAACGGTAGGAGGTTACACTCACATTGTGCTCTCTAGATGCTGGATTCCACCAGGGGACAGAGGTTGCCCAGCAGGATTTCAGCTGGAAGCAACAGGCTCAGAGCAGACATAGATTCTGCTCCCCACTGTGCTCCTTACTCCATGTCTGTCCTTGGACAAATAACTTGGCCCCTCTGTAATTCAGCTTCCCTGTCCATAAAATGGGGATGACAGCTCCCTCTGTAAAGCATTTTGAGATCTACGGTTGAAAAATTATTCATCTCTTTTCATTTAATTAGATAAGCTGATTGTGAAAATTCCTTACCATCCAGTGGCAAAAGGATTTGTCAATGCTGCTGGGCACGGATTACAAAGACCAGAGTAAAATACGCTTCTGATTTTGATTTTTGCCACTAGATTGGGCAGCAGAAGGCACTGGTGGCTCTGTGCACTAGACAGAGAGAACAGAACAGTGGTGGGTAGTTGCTTTATCACCTCCAGAAACAGCACCTTGCTTAGTTTCGCTGGGTCTGGATTCAGTCAACTGCAAGCATTTCCCATACATGGGAACATCCACCATAAGAGAAACAGAATGTGCTCTGATGGGCTTAGTGTCAGACATTATGTGTCTTAAAAATGAGGGGAATATAAACAAAGGAGCCAAACAGTGATTTCAGTTGACAGCTTAACAGCTCAACAACATCAGCTTCATGTGCAATTAATAAGAGGGCTTTTGATCCTGCAATCAGTGTCTATAAAATACATGTGGTTTCCCTGTATACTTGATTATATATAAGGAAGCAAAAGGATAAATACTTTTTTCTATTAGCATAACAAAGTACTTTTCAGTTCAAGCCAGAACTTTACAAAACATTTGTGGTCTGCCACGATGTGCTTTTCATTTCATCTTCCTGCATATGTTGAATGTACAACACAATGCTTCCTATGCTCTTTATTCCAGTGTTTTGCAAGAATCAAAGAAACTGAATTGGAGAGTTTATTGGATCTGAGATTTTAGAGGGAAAAAAGTGTTTGTTTTTTAAATGCAATTTTTTCTCCATGTATAAAGGCAGAAAGAAAAAACAACAGTACCCAAATATCTTTTGTGTTTGTTTGTTTTAAGCTTGTGGAACTTTAAAAGTATATGAACCTTTGTTATGGCTTCTCATTAAGTTATGTTACAATTCAGTTTGGGGGTTTTTTTTGCTAAAAGGACCTCAATTTCTAGCCCTTGCAAATGTCGCTTCAGTGGTTTTTATTGCTCAGAATTGGTAAACCAGTGACATTGGTTGGCTCGAGGCCAAGAACCTGAGTGCTTCTTGGAAATATGAAAAGGAAAAATCATGGTTCAGAGGTACCCACAAGACTACCCAGTGGTTTTGAATTCCACATCCAGCCCCACCGATAGCTTTCACTCTGGAGATAGTCTTTGTACACAGTAGCAAAACAGCATATGAATAGGAAAGAATATACTTTCCACCCCGGCTAATTCTGAAACAGCTTTGCCTAGGATACACTTGGAATGTAAAACCTGTTCTTTTAACAGTTTTCCCATTCGCTGCAGTCTCTGATGAGTCAATCAAAATGCCACGTTTAATAAAAACCAACACACTTTCCAGGAGGTATCAGGTTTGGGGCTCTTCCCTCCCTTGCAAAAATGTTAAAAACAGACTTCAGAATATTATTTTTCACTCCATCAACACCCAGGCAGATGTCCTGTTTGTCTTAAAAGCCCATTTGGTTAATGTCAGAGAAGATAATAAACCTAGCAGCCTAGGATGTGCATACACAGGCCAAACTGAGATTCCATATTTTACTGCTGAGGCAGCTTTTACTGCTGAGGCAGCACTAATAGCCATGGGGAAGCTGTAGGTTAAATGGGATTCAGACTTTCTTATCATCAGGTCATCTGACCCTGTTCAGTGCAGCATTGACCTTCTCCATGCCATTTTAAGTTTCAGTGTGCATTTTAGAATATGGGCCAGATCCAAAGAAGGGCTTTATAAGCCTCCGTGTTAAGTACCACAATGCCTACTTTTTAGGATCTTAACCCTCAGAATGGAATCCAAAGCCTAAAGTTAGGTACCTATAGGTACCTACACTTCCAGTAGAGAGAGTTAGGTACCTCAGAAAGGTACTCCAAAAAAAACAGTGTGCTGAGGAGCATAAAAAATGCTAAGCACCAAATGGTGTCTGAACTTCACTTCCCCAGTGTCTGGGCTTCCATCCCTCCTTGTAGTTGAGGTGCCTGAATTGGTGCTGAAAGGGACTAAAGCAAGTGGCCCAGGAAGTGGGAGGCATGGATTATAAGCCATCCTCAGCCTGAGGGGCCTCAAACCTACAAGATCCCATTTCCAAGGAAAGTGCCTAAACAGTAAACACCAAGCTAAGAGCTAGACTGTATGAGAGCACCTCTGCCCCTTCTGTAGCAAAAGATGTAAGACTCGTAGGGCCGGAGAGAAGAGCAAGCCAAAATCATCCTCGCTGTATAGCCCAATAGTTAGGACACTCAGCTGACTTTTTCTCCCTATTTCTAGGGGTATTTTTGCCTTTTTATTCAATAATTGTTTCACTTAACATGTAAAAATAGATTTAGGAGCTAAGACTAGAACTCAGGATTCCCTGTTCTCAGCTGAGGCTTACTTTAAATTATCAGTGAATATGATTAAGGAGGTCAGGCATGTCTCCTCAGAGTGGGATTTCCAGGTAATCAGAAACCCTGAATCCATAGAAGTGCATTTTGGGACTTGTGGTCCCAGTAATATTGCACTATGCTGTCTTTGGATCTGTCATCCAAAGATGAATGTATTGGGTGTATTGTATTATTTAAGGCTGGTCCCCCTGCCTCTCTCTCTCTTGCTTAAGTGCAGACAGCTTTACAGACCAAGCATTTCAAAACCAGCATTAGCCAGAATGAGGTTAGCTTTTAGAACTCTTGTCAGACTTGACTGTACTAATGATGTCTGCAGCTTGTCATTAAAAAAGAATCAAGGGAAAGCTGATTAAATGCAGCAGAAAGAGAGAAACAAAACTTTCCATTCCTTTACTTTTTCCTTGACACGTTGCACTTTATTTGGAGCTTGCCAATATGCCAGCCAACAAAATTGCAGGGGTCTAGTCATGGTTCACTAGTTAAATCTGTATGGAATTAGCTGCTGATGTGGACCAATGGAAAACACTCATTTACAGAGCTGGAAATGGCAGCCATGTATAGGCTTACTCATTAGGAAAGCTATCAATACAACAGATTGGTTCATTTCTGATTTGTACTATCCCAGCATAGTGCAGATCAAAGAAAGTGAGAAGCATCATACTGGAGTTTAGATACACAGCCAAGAGAGAGTGAAATATTTGATCAGGAGAGCTACAAATGCTTAAATCTGTCTTCTGTTATGAGTGCATTTCCCAACTGAGAAGTTTGGGTGCAAACTTAACAATCATCACACAGGCAGCTTGCAACAAAATTCATGCAGCCAGCTGTTATACATCTTGTTCCATTTTCCAAAGTTCCACTTCATTCAGCCTTACCTGACAACCATAATTAGCAATACAGCAAACTGCTGAATGTTACATCAGCCTCGCAAAATTGTCATGAAAATGTGTTAGCCCCGGCACAAAATATCCCTGTTCATTACCACTAAAATGATCGCTATGAAAAGAGTAAATGGCAATTTACTCCCCCATCAAAAATGATTTCCCCTTGGTGAGTTAGAATAGAATTTTGTCTGCAAGTCTGCATTTCTTTCTGTCTCTTTTTGTCTCTCTTGGTTGGTTTCAAGGTTGGTTTTCATTTGTCTGCTATGGTTGGTAGTTTGTAATGCAAAGTGGAAAAGGCATCCGTATCTGCCAGCTAATGCTGGTAACCATGTGTGAAAATCCTTGAGAGGAGCGAGAATGAAAACAGAACACCTCAATTCTGGTATTTCCCAAAGTTGTGCAGAGATCTTTCTGTGCATGGAGACATAAAGGGATGGAAGCCTCTCTATGAGGGTGTGTGTACCAAGTCAAGCAGATGCTTCCTACACTTTTATGTCCTATGCAGATTACTGCTGCTCTTGGCAAAA